GTCAACTTTGAGGGAAATTCACTCCTGTGCACCAGGTATTTGCATTTGGGGTGAGATCTCTCAAATGAGAAAAACCTGTTTGCCTCTGGTGAGTGTGTCAGTTCAAGGACTTGCATACCCAGGAGGAACAAATGAGTTGCTCCTGCTTCCTTACTGGCTAACTGTGCATAGGGCTCCCCAGTTCCCTGATGTGGGGGGTGACTGCATTTTAAAGACATTTCAGGTTTTGGAAGTGTGGCTGCCTGCAGCAGAGAGGGAAGGAGTTCTTGTGCTGTGCTGTCTCACACTCCTACTGTGAAAATATCACACGGACCTGTCCCAGAGAAGCTGTCTGTTTTGGCAGCTCCTTCCCTCCTACATGCTCGTTCTTCAGGTAAATCTCTTATCTCTGCCAGCCATTCCCCCTTCCTCCCTGAAAAGTCATTATCATCTCTTGAAATTAAGGAAAAGACAGGAGGAGGGAATAAAAGGATGTTGAGAAGTAGAAAACAATCAATTAAATAGTACATAGCATGTAATTTTCCTTGGAAACTTACCATGAAATTGAGGAGCACTTTAACAACTAGTAATTTAAATTGCATTTGAACACTGCTAATGGGTTGTTTGCATGGGAATTTTGGTCATTTCACAGCAGGCCCTTGTCTTTGGTACCCCTTCACTCACTTAAAAGAATAGAAATAAATAAAAGCCATTGTCCTGTAGATAAATGGTCCAACTGTTGCTGGTAAAAGGTGATACTGTAAGATCTCGTTACTTTCAGGACTGTTTGCTTCATTAGTGTCAGCTTATCCAGTGTTAAATTCAAGGGAATTAATTAGTTTTGATCTGAAGAAGCTTGCAGGGCTTGCTATTGCTGAAAGGCAGGAAAATGACATTATCCCTGCTGTACTTAAACCTGTTGGAGGTAGAATGGCTGCAGGAGCTGCTCCAGGCTGACGTGGGATCTGTAAGCTGTCCTGTGGAGGACCCCACTCATCGGAGTCCTCCCTGTCCCCACACTGTGACCCTAGCATGGGGCTGGGGCTGGCCTGGGAACGCAGGCCACGTCTCTGTCACTCAGAACAAATCACAACAGCCTTTTGTGAGCTGATCCCAAAGGGAACAACAGCGAGGTGTGGATCAGCTGTAGCTTCGGGATGTTCTTATGGAACTTAGGGTTGTTTTTGTAATGTTTAGTGCTCTCTTCCTCCACTATACTGTTTAAACACCAGCGATTTTCAGCAAAACATGGTATATTGTGTGCTGTTTTGCCACTGGTTTTAGTGGGAACGGGCCTTATGGCAAGGCAGAGGCAAGTTTCTTGTCGCCTGTTGCTGAATGAACATCTCGTTTGCAGAGCAGGGTTTTTGCAAATCCGTGGGCATAGCTAACATATGGAAGGGGGTTCCAGTATAAAAACAAATCTGGCCTTCTGTTTCTGGATGTGTAGGCTGTTTCTTAGAAGATGGAACCTTTCAAATCTGTCCCTGCAAACGTGGCTGTTAAGTTCTTCTATTTCAGAGAAGCAAGGCAGCTGTCTGCACTTAGATAAGCTATAAAAAGGCAATATTTTCCCAAAATGGCTTTTTAAGCTCTACCTGCTAGACAGCTCAGCCAACATGGGTTCAGCAGGAGCGTGCCTACCACTGCCCTTCTATGCATGAGACTGTGAACAATGTGAGAACTTCTGGGCAAGTATCCAGGGCAGCACTAAGCATCAGCCCTTCAGTCTCTCTTAGGGAAGGCTGCTGCACAGAGAACTGCTTTCAGGCAGCTCTCCCTTTGCTCTGTTGGTTTGATTGTTCTTACAGGATGTTGTAAGGGGAGATACAGATTGGCTATAAGGAAGAGGTTTTTTGTGATACGGGTGGTGAGGCACTGGCACAGGCTGCTCACAGAGGTGGTGGGTGCCCTGTCCCTGGTGGCACTCATGGTCAGTGGGACCAAGCTCTGAGCACTGATGGAGCTGTGGGTGTCTCTGTTCATTGCAGGGCATTTGGACCAGATGACCTTGAAGTGCTCCTTCCAATTCAAATGATTCCATGACTAGGTTCTGTGTTTAGAAAACAACTGCTTTAACTTCAGTTTTTAATGTTATTTGCGTCTTTCTTGTTGCTGCCTTGCCTGCAATGGCCATCTCCTTTTAACTGCAGGATGCTTTTAGTGTTCTCCCTCCAAGTGATTTACTTGAATGTGTTTCTGTTTGCTGTGCAGTCTAAGGATGGCTAAGTTGAGATGAAATTGATAACAAAAAATGTTATTTTTCCTAAGGGTAAGGATGAGGTTCTTAATAGTATAACAGACTTCTTATTGATACTTCCCAACACAGATGCTATCCACAGTTCTTTTAGTTATCAGCTAGTTATCTGCAGAAACATGAGTGCAGAAGGCTCTATCAGGTAATCTCTCTGTTGAAACTGTTGGGACTGAGGGGGATGTGGCTTCTGAGTGGGTGAGTGAAGAATATTTTAAGCTGGGGGTTGTGAAGGTCAGCATTTGGGGGGGGGGGGGATGATGGAGGTGGTGACCTTGTGTGGGCTGGAGACTGTTGGGGGAAGGCAGGGGGAGGCCCACGCGGTGCAGAGGGGCCAGAGAGCAGCAACATGTGGTGTTGGGAAACTTCAGACAGCTCAGGTTCTGCTGAGATAAGGAACCAGCTGATAGCACCAACCCAGTGAGCTGTCTAGCAAGTACTCTTGCCTTTTTTTTTTTAATTAGTTGAATAAGCATCTTAATGATTCTTGCAAACTGCTGCACCCACTGCACAAATCCCCTATCATGTGTGGGTGTTGTTGTCAAACAGACAGCAGCTTCAGTGCTCAGTACTGACATGGAAGAGTTAAATGTTCTTTTTCTTGGTGCATGGGTCTCTTGGTCCCTTTGTGGTCCCTCTTGGTGCCTTTTGTATTGTGCCTAACCCTGCCTTCTCCTTGACAGGTTTTTCCATATCAGCATTCCTCTCCCCAAAGCAGAGACACTTGGCTGGTAAAAGTCAATATATATTTGGTAGCTACTCCTTCACTATCTGTGTGTTTGCCAGTACCAAAACCCACTGAAGACTGGAGGTGTCTGGGGTTTGAAATAATCCCAGTGTGTTATTTCTGGCTGTCTTCTCCCCTTGTTAGTGCATGCAATGCTGCCACAAGTTTCTGTGTGTCTCGTGGTTGGAGCTTATGAGTGAGCAGTGCAGGTAAAGGCCCTTTGTTTGTCCACCTCCCTTTCTCAACCATTTTTGAAGAATGCTGATAAAATTTAAGTAATAGCCTTGTAGCTGAGAGATAAGGAAGAAAAAGTCTTAAGTGCTGATTAGTTTGCTGTGGAGGGAACGCAAACACCGAGGGAGCTCGGTGGAGGGAACTGACACTGAGCTACCCTGGAATGCTGAGACTGCTTATTTATCATTTACCCACCTCATAAAAGCTTTAATGGTGGAGTAGAAGCCGGTTCTTTTCCTTAAGAGTCTGCAATCCAAGATGGACAAACATGCACTTGAGGGCTGGGTGAGGGAGGGCTGGAGATAGAAATCTAGATAAAGGGGTTACTAGAAGAAAAAGACTTCGGAGGTGGGAAGTATGGCTGATGGGAAGGGTATTTAATGTGCTAGAGTGGATAGACAGAGGAGGGTGAATGGGTATGGAAGGAGGTGAGAAGACCTGAAAGGAAATAAGGTTGAAGAGGAGGGCAGAAAATGAGAAAAGCTGTGGGAGGAAAAAAGAGCAGTGAGGCAGCTGTGGGAGGGGACACTGTGGGATGCTGTAGATGAGAGTCAAGATGACCTTAACTTTTCTTTTTTTGTGTGTTAAAAGTTATGCTGTAACTCAGCTACTGGTATTAGTCATCTCTCAGTGTATAAAGTACCAGTTTCTACCTTGAATGGAGAGTGTTGGTCTCATCTGAATTCCAGAGCTGGAAAGTCTCTTGGCTGGGTTTGAATGCTTTGTGCATCTGGTGAGGGTGGTTACACACCATGAAATTTTGTATGTGCACCACTGCAAAAACCCTAATAGGCAAGTGCATGAGGAAATTCTGCTTAATGTTATCAAAGTTAGTCCTCCAGAGAAAACAAATCACAGGGGGGCTTGTATGTGTGTGTACGTATTTAATATGGATGTGTATGTTATGAATTGTTTTTCAAGTGAGACAGACTGCACTTCAGTGAGATCTAATGGGAAATAGGTAGGAGCAGTAGGTTTTGCTGTGTTGTATCCACTCCTAGTAAAAGAAAAGTAATCTTTGCACTCGGGTCCTTGTGCATTAACTTCCATGGAACTGAGCTTAGAAATCTCAGTGGTCATCTGGTTCCTGTGTCATACTTCTCAGTTCGTGAAAAAGACCTTAGGACTTTCCATAGATTCTGCAGGGGTTTTGTTCCAGCCCTGAGGACCAAAGGAATCAAGGAAAGATTTACTGTCACCAAGCTTATTTCCTTTTCTCTGGTTTCTTCTCTCCTTTTGGAAATAATTGGTCTTAATTTTTGGTGTTTATACTCTGGCCAGTGTCCGTAAAGCTCTGAGTTTTCCTGAAGCAGCAGTAACAACTTCACCTTTCATCCAAAATCTGGTTCCCCTCTTTCTTTCTTAATTTTATTTTTATTTTTATCTTGAAGGATTTCATGCCTGATCCACATGTTTTTTGTGCGTCGTCTTCCACTGCTGTTGCTTTCCAGATCTTCTGGTTTCTCATTTTCTCTCCAGACTGGTCTTTTTCTGTTTCCCCCATTAGTTAGAGACAACTTCTTTGTAGCTCGTAAATGGTGTGGGAACTTGATGGGCATCTCCTCTGGAGCTCAGTCCATCTACTATCGTGGTATGCTGTTTCAGCAGGAAAAAAACCTGGGCTTGGAGCATCTAAAATTGCCCATTATCTGGGCTCATTTCTTGTAGTCCATAATTTGGGGGTGGAAAGAAGAGGCGAATCACTCTAAGAATGACTGACTCCACCATAGATCGATATAAAATGTTCCATTACGTTTTCATTGTCAAAAATGACTTCCCTCTCCCACCCCCCCTCCCCTTCTCCTGTGAGATGCTGCAGAGATGTGGTCTTGTGGTGCAAATCAGTTCGTGGCCAGCTTGGCAAAATGCTACCATGATCTTAGCTGAGAACTTCCTTTTTGAATGAGCTGGGGGCCGAATGTGGTGGGGGCGACCTGCTTTCAGAGGAAAAGAGGTTTTTGGCCACTGTAAGGGGTTTTCACATGCTAAAGCAGATCTGTTTGATGAGGAGCCGCTCCCTGCTCTCCTCTTTGGCAAGAAGGTCAACAGATGTGCAAAACATAAGGCAATATAAAGAGACATAATAGAAAGTGTCATGGGATATCTGCCAGCAACCTCCTTGGGCTGTTGCCACTGATCTCGGGCTGATGAGACGTTTAGTGGTGTGTCTTTGCTGAAATTTCTCATTATCTGTAGTGGTGGGGAGGAGGTGCAGATATTGGGCTTCCTTGTGCCTACAGATATTTACACAGCCCTTGGCTTTTACAGTGCATTTAGGGCAGTGGTATTACCCTCCTACTTCCAGTAAGTGAGGAGGCTAAGGGACTTGCCCAAAGCTACACACACAGGCATAGACATGCATATGCATTCATCTTTATGCATGTATACGTGTACGTATGTCAAGGCCAGGGACTGATCCAAATTTCCTGCTTCTCTTTATTTTGTCTGTCTTCTTGTGGCTATCAGAAGCATCTTCATGGGCAGAATGATGTGGTGGTAGGCAAGAGATAGTGCTGGTGTGCAGTTTTCACAGCCTGGCATGGATGCTCTCTTTGGGGCTGTACCCATTGGTGTGGCGTATCCACATCTGCCCGTGAAGGAGACAGTAGGTATCACTGCACTGACCCATGCATCCTCTTGTAAAGGCTGCAAAGTGTTTGAAGTAGTAGGACACCTCCTACCTGCCTCAAGTGAGGCTTGATCTGCTGTTAAACTTGCAGCACTACTTCATAAGCAGAAACAAAACTGGCTCATGGGACCAATTCAACCTGTGCGGGAGTTCATGGGCAATCCTGGTGTCAATAAGTTTTAGCACAGATAGCAAAAATGACATCTTCTGCTTCATCCCACATTGGGAGAAGATCTTGTGAGGAGCTGGATGGTTTGGGATTTTGCATTCTCATGAGCTGTAGTGTCAGGAGCAGGAGCCAGGATGCCCTGCTGGAGCTGTCTGGGTCGCTGCTGCTCTGCTTCTAAGCTGATGCTGCAGAAACTGAATGCTGTGGGATCCAGGGCTCACGCAAATGTGTTTACCTAGCAAATAAAGGTGGGAGAGAAAAAAGGAAAAGCCTCAAAGCAGCTTTGGGTGTTTTTAAGTGGTGAAAATGAGAAATTCCTGAGTGGACGTAATTATTGCCTGTTTAAACAGAAACTTACTTAGCTGAAATATCAACTCTTATGGAAGAGTTTCCTGGTGTGTCCTTTTCATCTCTAACCACTGTCCTCTGGGCAATGCCTCCAAAGGTGCTGGGCACGGTGTTTTTACTTAGACTGGTACCTTGCTGTGCCTGTTTGCAAAGGGCATTGGTTTCTTTCTTCCTTGGCTTGATCCACCTCCCTGACTGTGTCAGGGCAAAGTTGGTGAGTTCGTACAAAAATTCACCTACTTGTGTCATGCATGGGCATCGAACGCCTGGCGTTTGTTTAGGTGGAGTCATTTGGTCTCACTGAGTGTATACATATGTAGGGATATTCATGTCTAAGTATATACAGCAGTTGAGAGAGGCAGGTGTACCACACTGATGTTTCTCAGGGCTTCAGATGAGGCCCCAGATGTCCTCATTTGCTGTAATTCCAGTGGGAGAAAGTGCAGAAGGGACCTGTCCCAGGGCTGAAGGGCTTTTTTCCCATTTGACCCATATGTGTTGTGCATTGTCTCAGCCGTGCTGATGGATGCTCGTGGAGTTGCCATAGTAAATCCTTTGGGGAATGGGGTATGTGGTGGAGACAGAATAGATGGTGAGAAATGTTTGGGTGTGACCTGCACACTAAGAATTCACAGGGTCTTACTGGTGATACGTGTGTCATGCTACCAGCTGGCTGTGTACATGATGCTATCTGTGCTTACGTGCCATTTGTTTGTTTAAAACATATAAAATACAAGGCTATTTCAGAGCACTGTGCTGGGTGGTCACAGTGAGACTGCTGCCCAGAGCGTCCTTGTCGAGATTAGAACACCACAGTGAGTGCTGCTATTGCCCTGATGGTTGGAAAGGCAGTGACCTGGGGCTTTCTGCTCATGTTAGAAAATGAAAAAGTTCCTTCTCCCTTTTTCCATTCATATATATTTTTGAAAACACCAGTCAAGTGTCTCTGTGGTGCCTTCTGCAGCGCTTGCTTCACTGTGTGCTGTTGTCCACCTGCTCTTTAGAGGCTCCTTTGTTATTCTGATGCCACATGTTTTCTTTTCCCTTAATTGTTCACCTATAAGTAGCTGTCTGCAGGATGTGATTCACTGAGGCTACGCTATATTTGAGCCTAGTGATGCACACTGGATCCATAGCAGGAATAAGTGGCACTGTGGTACCTTATATTACAGTCTGTTCTGTCGAGGCTGTTCTTTGCTGCTTGTTAAGAAACTGTGTTGCACTCCTTGCAGTTTATAAGACTCTGAAAGCTTGACATGGACATGATGTTCCCCTGCAGATGTAGCTGCCGTGTCTCTCAGAGCAGTTCTTTTGGTGCTTTTGACTGCTGAAATTAATGTGGAGCAAACTCTGAGATGTTTGAACAAGCTGAGCTGGCCTGGTAATATCTCTTTTCCCCAGGCAAACACACAGAGATGCTCAGCCCTCCCTCCCCCTTTTCCTTCCTTTCTCAGTCTGGAGACTGTCCTGCTATTGTTGATTACTGGTGTCCTGCACAAGTGTTCTTCATTTGTCCCTGGAGAACTCACAGGTTGGTGCTCATTTGTTTCCAAATCATTGTCCTTGCAGTCTTGAATAATACCCCCATTAAGCAGGTGGAGCTGATAAAATCACTTCCAACACAGCTGACAGCAACTAGGTCAGATCCTTTCTCACTGTTTCCTGACAGGAGAAAATAAAGTACACATGAAAGCAAAATACACGAGTTTTCCCCTCCGTCTCTACTCCCCAGGCCCCCCAGTCATGGTTTCCTCAACAACAAAAAAGAAATCGCAGCCAATCCGTTCCACGGAAGAGTCTGAATTTGTCAGAGTCAATGTTTCCATGTCTGACAAAGCTTAAAACAGAAGAAAAAAAAAAATGCAGAGGCTGCATGTATGTGGTCTGGCTTGTGGCCAGGCAAGGAGCGCTCTTTAGGGTTATTATTAGGTAGATAACTGTATCAAGGGCTTAAACATCAACCTGGTTGCGAGGGCTGCTGCTCTGTGCTTGAAATGCTGATGCATGTTTGATGCTTATGTGAAAATGAATTGCACAGTCTGAAACCACTTTTCTTTTTTTCTTTTTTTTTTTGTATTTTTTGTATTTTTCCCCCATGATAACTTCAGTGCCAGTGCAGTTCCTGGGAAGTGATTACAGGTGCTCCATGGGGAGCTATTGCTTGTTTTGAGCTTGCAAATCTTTTTTTGCTATTAGGACCAACTCTCTGTTAGTGTCTCTAATAGGAACCATACTCGAGAGTTTGCACAGGTTGGAGGGATCTGTATCCAAAGGGAACTGGACTGCCTTAAAGATCATTTAATCCGTCCTCAGGGCCTATCTCAATAAGGTGAGGGAAGTTTTGGGGGCCCTGGTCTCTGCTTTTGAAGGTGTGTGTACACAGAAGTACTCAGGGGCACAGGGAAACCAAATCACTGGGACTTCAGTGTCTTGAAGCAGAGAGGGGCAGGAGGAGGTGCAAGAAGATATGATAGGAAGGACAACATTCTGATGATCCTTAAGAACTGAGACACAGTACTTACTGCCCTGGAGGAGCAGGAGCTGATGGAGAGAGATGCACAAGGCAAGGTGACGCGGGCAGAGCGGCAGCCTGGGAAGTTTCTTGTCAAGTGCTTCTTGGAGACCAGCAGAAGAATGTCTGTTTGCAGTGCTGGTAGATACCACGTATCTGTCTATGTTCCCATCTATATATGGTATGTGCGAGTCTATATATAAATGCTTTGGTGGCTGGTATTTTGGCTGATACACTCACAGTTTTGTGCCACATTGAGAGATTTAAAAATATCTCCCTGTTCCAGGAACTTCTATACCATGACAGATGTCATCTGGTGTGGGGAGTGGCTTCTGAAAAGAGAACACAACGCTACAAGCGTACTATGAGCCTTAGGAGTCTATTAGATTATTTATTGCTCCACTGCCACCATAAGACGTGTGAGGTGCATTATTTCTGCCTGTCAGTTTTTTCACACGTTCAGTCAGGCAGCATCTGTCACTCCTCCCTGCAAGTCTCTTGCTTTCATTCTCAATGAACTTGCTTTCCAGCTGGAAAGGAGGCAGAATAAAGATTTCAGGAGTACTCAGAGCTAACAAACGAGTTCATTAACAATTACTTAAAGTCCTGCCTCTGAGAATTAGGGTCTCACTTAGCAGGGCTGCCCAGCCAAGCATGGGTCACCCCATGCTCACTGTTGTTTTATTTGGTGGCGAGCCTGCAGACCTGTTGTGTCAGGCACTGTGGAAACCTACTGTGAGTCAGACCTGTCTCGGCAGCACAAGATGGAGTAGGATAGGAAACAAATTCTCAAGACTTTCTTTTGGGAGCACTTCCCTGGTTTCCCAGACCTCAGCTCAACATCCAGGAACCTGTTGGTTCTGCCTTGTCCAGAGGATCTATAAGAGTGGGCACGTCCCTTTTGTGTGGTGGTCAGGAGGTGCTGACAGGGCTGTGCCAGGCACGCTGTGATGAAAGCAGTTGGAAGGGGAGCACTGGCACTGCCAGCGAGCATTGCTCATACATGCAGGGCTAATTCTCTGTTGCTCAGGCTTTGGACCAGATCTGGGTGGAGTCCTTCAGACTGGCAGAGCCTGAGAACATGTTGGGGTTTGCTACCTCCTTTGCAGAGGTCTAGTAAACAGGGAAAGGCTGTGAAAAGGGAACAGAGCTGTGAGAAGTCACATCAGACCTAGGTCTTTTTTATCTGCGTCAGGATGCTTGTCCTGTAAGCAAACAGATGAGAGCCAAAGCATTCCCTTCTGGGTTGGCTGATGAGGATGGGAGGCTTCACTGGTGAGGGACAAAAATGGTCAGCAGAGCAGTAAAGGTGTGTGTAGTGAAGGTGGGATAGGAGCAGTCAGATACTGCTATGAAGATGGACCAGATAGGGGGAGTCCCTCTGGGACTTGCATGGGGTTTGGTTCCTGCCTCTTGAGCCTGGCAGTGAACTGTGTTGCCTGTTCTGGTTACCATTTGCACTGCACCAGTGTCAGGAGAGGTGTTGAATGGGTGAGGATTTCTGCCTGCCTTTGAAGGTAACCAATGAAATGTGTGTGTGATGGGCTTGGGCTCATTGGAGCAGCGAGTGACCCTCACTGGTCTCTCCATGGAGCTCTCCTGGGGGAGAGCTTCGCAGGATAGAGCCTTGATATTTTCTCTCATCTTGTTCAATCCCTCATTAAGGTCACAAGTAATAGGATGCCTGTAGTGTTCTTCTGTGCCCTGTAGTTCCCTCCCAGAACTTTGGCCCAGTCCTACTCACTCTTGCCTGACCACGTATGCAAGTAACTCATGATATTGAGCCTGGTACCTCCCATTAACCTGGAGGTTTCGTGGAGTCCCAATGAGAGGCAGCCCACAGCTTCCCCTGACCTTGCAAGATGCCCTTCCTGCTCCTGACCCTGCAGAAACCTCAGGCATCCACAGTGCAGCCCTGGCGGGCGCTGGCAACAGATAAAAACCAAAATGCATAGAAAGCTTCAGGAGTGTGGGCGGCACGGGGAGGGTGGAAAAATAGCTGGGGCGTCGTGTCACCGGATGCCAGGAAGCAGCCCAGCACTGGGGTGAAAGATGAGCAGGGCTGTGGCAATGGGACTGCCGGCACATTCTGTACATTCTGCAGCCCTGCAGCACGTGGGGCCGTAGGGCAGGCTGGCAGCCACGCGTTTCACTTTCAGGCATGTAGCTGAGCTGGTATTTCGTTATCCTGACACCCACCAAGTCTTTCTCTTTTTTTTTTTTCCACCCTGGTTTTAACCGAGGTGCACTTGTTTATCCAGCAGGGCTCTGCAGCCTATAAACAGGATGTCTGACTGCTTCCTTTCAGCCCAGTAACACTAAACCGCTTCGAGTGCAGATAGTGCTTCAGTAACACTATTCAGGTCTGAATCAGCTTCGTGTCAGCCGTGGCTAGCATCATACAAGGCAGCACCTGCATCTGTCTGAGTGTGAATCTAACAGATGCCCATGTGGACTGAGTTGGCTGTTGTGAACAAATCCATGTTGCCAAAAAGGACCCAAGTGTGTGTTTTCATCAGGGTGGCTGTAATGGAATCCCAATTGAGACGGAGTCCTTAATTTCCATTTTGTAAAGGCAATCTAGTTTATAAAACCCTAAACCTGAAAAACCTTTTGGAAAAACTTCTGCTTCAATAAGCATGGCTTTCTGAAGGTTTTCCCACTCTACTGGGGACCTGGGTATGGTGGCCCCAAGAGACTGAAAATGAACCAGAGCATACAGGAGGTGACTCCAAGTAGTGCTCTTGATGAGGAGCAAGATGTTGAAGGGGGGATAAAGGTTATTCTTCAGAAGCACTTGTTGGTTTAGAATATTGAAATCACAAACAACAGTAACAGAATGGAGGTTTGGTTTGACCTGTTGAGTGTCTTGACTTTAATGTTCAAGGTGTTCAGTGATTTTTAATGATTGTTATCTTGTTGCAAGCTCTGCCTCATATTATGTCCTTTAGAACTCTTGTTCCCTTGTATCTATAATTACTTTTTTGTAAAAATTAGATATTCAAAGAAATTTAAGTTTCCAGACCTCACGGTAGTGTAGAAAAGCTTTGGACATGTGCTCCTTATATAAAGAGTGAGTAAGGGGGAAATTGCTATATATGCTAACTCTTGTTGTGTCAGTTTTTAAGCCAATCTTATCAGCTTTGGGATGGACTGATGATTTCTTACATTCAAGACTGGAAGGCAGGTCTCTGAAAGAGAGATGAATGTTGTCTGGATTTTGTTGGGTCGGGGTGCCCTTATGTTTCTGTAGAGATCTTGAGCTTCTATGTGCCACTTTAACTGATTTGTCAGAATGTTTTGTTTACACAGAAGTATTCTGAATCTGCTACTGAGCTTCGGTTCAGAATAGATATAGAAGAACAAGTTGTTCTGCCATAGCTCTTCTGCAAGTACCTCATTTGCGTGCAGCTTCATTCCAAAATGCACATGCCTTTTTTGATTTTGTTCAGGCTGTATTGGAAGGTGGAACAAACTCAAGTGGGAAGGAAAAATTCTCTGTTTTTCCCAAAGTAAATTGATCTGCATTGGGCATCTTTTTCACAGACGTTTGTCTTTTGAAGTTATTACCTGGGCGGGCAGATCCCAAGTTGTGCAGCTGGATGTGACAACCTGGAATTTTTGCAGTTCATTTTATGCTAACACAGCATTCTTAGCAGATCACGTTTCCTATTAAAAGCTGGATGATCCTGGTTTTAATAAAGGGGTCAGCATGCTCACCTTCTGTGCCCTGTTTGGCATGTGGTCCTTTTGTATGACCAGGCTGGTGAGTGATGAAATGTGCTTGCACCTGGTTGCATAAGGGGCTGACACAAATGAATGGGGTGAATGAAGCTGATGTTGCACCTGCTATACAGCTGCCATTTAAATAAAGATGTGCCCCTGATCTCAAAAGCATTTACCCATGGCACGGGTTGGCAACACCAGTTAACATTTAGATTGTTTTGATTGGCTTATGTAAAACAGGCACAGATTTCAGCGAGCTGGCGGGTGGTGCTGCTGTTCTGGGTGGGCAGCATGACACTGCCAGTGGTCACTGCCCTGGTGGAGCAGGAGGACTTGCAGCAGGGCCTGGGCTTGTGAAATGTCCCATCCCCGCAGGCAGAAGGGCTGTGAGGGCTGTGGGTTGAGTTTTGTTTTTTGCAGGGTGCTATGTAACCTCCTGCTTTGCTGGTGCTACCCAACAGGCATTGCCTCTCCAGTGACATGTTTGCATCCTGCATCTCATGTTTCCTAGGGAAAGCGAAGGTGCGTGGTATGATCTGGGCCAATTGCCCACTTACCTGCTGGTGTTTTGTTGGGATCAAGCAGTCAGACCAGTGGCAAAGCTTTCTCCTGACTGCACCACAGCTCGGTGCTGCACTCATCTCTTCTCCCATGAGCAACGTGGCACCTCCAGTCTGTTTTTTTCTTTTTATTTTTTCTTTCTTTTTGGAGAAGAACACAAGATAAAAGAACAAAGAAGAATAAAGGTAAACGTTTCCATGGTATCCAAAACCTGTGGCTAAACCACGTGTCCCCGTTTTCCAACCTTGCATACCTCATCTTTGCAGAAAGGTGCCCCAGTGAAGAGCCAGCAGCTTTCCTTATTGATGAGGAATCCTCTCTTTTTTTGTTCCAAGTGCCTTTCTTTCCCTTTCTTAAAAAGCACTCGCTTGAATAAAGTGCTGGCAAATGCTTGGGTGCTGGACCTTGGTCTGGAAGGCAGGATGCTGGTTGAACAGTAACAGGAATGTGTAGGCTGGGTTTTGGCTTACGGTGATGAGCAGCAATGGATTCTGCTCCCCAGTGCCCAGGACTGAGCTGCTCTTGGCAGCTGAAAGACACACTGAAGTTGTTGCCACAAGGGTAACAAAACAGGGGTTTTTACTTTTTTTCCTACAAGGTTGAGCCCTTTTCATGTAATTGGTGACTGTAAGTCAGCAAAACAAAAGTTTGTGGGCTTTGGGTGGATCATATGGAGAAAATATCTTGGTTGGCTTGGCCGTTTCTTGAAGTGTTGTTCGTGGGTAGAGCTGCTCCATGCTCCTTGCAGCAGCCTGGAGTCTAGAAACTATGCACTCTTTGCTGTTGGAGTGTTGAAAGACTCTCCTTCCTCCTCATGGATCTGGGCGTGCTCTCATCTGATAGGACTGACTGGTCAGTACAGGGTTCCAGCTCAAACAGGAAGGTGAACTGGGTTAGAAGTGATAACTTAGCCATTAGCATGTTGTGTAGGACAGAAATTGCCTTCATCTCATGTCAAATGTTTGCTGATGCTCCTATGGACTGAGGAAATGATGTGGCATGATGATCTCCCTGTGCTTCCTTCTTAGTTTGCTTTGTGGCCAACTGTTGAGAAACATGATGGCCTAGTTTGTAAGTTACAACTTCTGTCCTAAATCTCGCATAGCTGATCCCTGTGAGTTAGCCTGGAGGGACTTCATGAGATTCATCTGCTCTGTGTTCCTATCTGATCCCCTCTGGACCTTGTGGCACTTGAAAGTAGAATATTGTATAAAATGTGTAGAAATTTGTTCAAAGAGGAGAGAACAGCTATTTCTAATGCATTCAGAAATGGTGACTGAAAAGTGATGGAAAGAGAGAATATATATACTAAATATCTTAGCAGGTAAAAACCACTGAAATTTAGAATAATCTTGGTGATGGTAAAACATCATGGTGAGGGAAGTACATGTGAAAACTGCTGTTGGTGCCTGAGAGAGCGAGGGCGGTGTTGCATTAAGCTTATGGAGAATTGACTAATTTTCCCACTAATTTTTTCCCCACTATCTTGTTAACATTTGAACTGGAAAAAGTCACGTGGTTTGAAAATATTACTTGGTTAAAGAAAAAAAACAACAACACAACCAAGAAACAAGAAACAAGCAAGCACTTACTGTGATGTGTGGTGAGTAGAATTATAGGAGCTACCCAAAAACAGTGCTCTGGAGTGGGCTGTTGGATTGACTGCAGGAAGGAGCGATGTGCCTGAGCTGGATGCAGCATAGCGATGATTCTGGTATGAGAACAAAGTAGTTCAAGTAGATCCCCTGCCTCAAACTAAGATGCGTTGATTCAATCTGCTGATTAGTAATGCATAAGAGGCGAGCTAAAGGTTAATTTAATAGAAGAAAACAAACATTAATATGAGCAGGGGATTAATTTGAAGCTTGAAAGGAGGGCATTGCAAATACTGGGATTGTGCAAGCTGGTTGAAACACCCAACCCTTCTGTCACTGGTGGAGACTGCTACTGCACAAAGCTCAAACCAGAGCGTGGCTGGCAAATGGGAAGTATTTTGTGTGTGGGGGTGAAAATTAGAAAGAAACAGGAAAAAGCACGTCCTGTTTTTGAGGAAAAAATAACTCCTAAGCACCTTCCCCCTTGCCCCTAATGAAACCCACAGACCTTTTCAGAATCTGTACTTTCTAGTTCCTCTTCGGTTTAAGAAAAACAGTACAGCACAAAGTTCCTAACACCTTCACAACACCAGAATGTGGTCTCCCAGTTTTGGTGGGAGGTAAATGAGTTTTCCTGGGGAATAAGTTTCCAGGAGGCTTCCAGGCATGGCCAGGAGAACCTGCCTGCTGTTCCATAGCACCAAGTGGGTTTGCTGGAAGGAGACAGAGTGAGTTCCTTGAGGATTTTCTTAATGCTGGCAGGTACTGTCTGATGCGCAGTACTTTAAGATGACACGCTTGTTGAATTGTACCACCATCTATGCTTTCTCTATTTTGGGAACCTAACAGCCCTCTGCCTTCCTCTGGGTTTTTACCATCCTCTCAGCTGTCTAACTGAGTGGTTCTGGCAAGTTGTCAGTCTGTGGCCTTGAAGTGTAACACTTTCCTGCTGAGTTAGGGTATCTCCTCAGCCTCTACCTCCTTCGTTTCTTCATTGCTTGCACCCTGCAGATGGGCTCCTGAGGTGCTGGGTGTGAGTTACAAGCTCCTGAGAAAATCTGTGGGTAAATAATTAACACTGCTGAAACACTGAGCTGCCTTCTCCCCTCCCTGGAACTGACTGGCGACAGTAAATATTTCCCTTTTTAGCTTGTCATGCCCATCCTAAGGAGCAGATCTCCTTGATTGGGATCTTCTCAGTTTTCTTTTACCTTCTCTTTCTGAGAGTGGATAATGCTCAATTACAAATGAGAGGTGGAACTGCAGGGGAGGAGCTGACCTATATGCCGTTCATCTGGTTATATCCCTGCACGGAGGAGAAAAAGGCTTTTGAATTGACAGAAGGTAAAGTGAGTCCTTTGGGCTCAAGCTGGTGCCAGGATAAAACCAGCAGCAAAAATCAGCCCTTGGTTGGGGTCTGGCTTGAGTCTGCAGCAAATCATTCAGGCTGCTTTACAGCAAGGTTTAAGTGAGTTGGAAGTGATGATGGAAAGGAAGAGACTGGGTGATTTCCAGAGGTCCCTTCCAGTCTGTGATTGTGTGAGTTCCTTGTGAGTTTTTTCACTCCATGGGTAGCAAGCAGTGGGTCTTTGCTGACCTTCTGCTCTCAGCAAGTGGTACAGTGGGGATGGAAGAGATGCAAAATGGCTGTGGATGCCAGTTTGCACCCTTCCTACTTTTTACACTGTCTTGAAGGAGTGTGTCAGCTCCTCTCCAGGAGGAGGACTTGCAGTCAGTTACAGTGTGAAGTGCAACCAGTCTGTGTCCTCTGTTCTTCACTGGGGAGACCCCTGGGTTACACTATGAATGAAAGTGATGCTTAGAACAGCAGAGAAGCTCAGGATGAGCAAGTTGGGAAGTTGCTGAGGCTGTCTGAGGCGATGTGGCTTCTCCAGTGGTTGGAGCAGGAGGCATGTGTTAGGCTGCAAACATAGTTGCTTGCTGTGCTGGTAACTTTGGGATTATCCCAGAACTGTTTTCAGCTCTGTCATGGATTCCCTGTGTAATTTTGGACACTTTCAGTGCTTCCTAAAAGGCCAATCACTTAGGCCTATGTTTTGATAGGGTTTAATTGGAAATGTAGAATCGCAATGAATAGTCTCAAGTGAACAAATTCTTGAAGACTAGGGGAAAAAAAAAAAAGCAAACACCTCCCATGCTTTCTCTGTGCCTCGGCTTTCCTTCTCGTAAGTGGTGCTCTGGAAACCTCCTCCCAGGTGTTGTGCAAAACTTACCCTCAGTCAGATGTGTACTGTGACAGTGACAGCTGCAGAAAGACCTGAATATTGGTGAGACCAAGAGGAAGAAAGTGGGAAGTACCTAATGTAAGTGCAATTAAGAAACAGAACCAAAAAGTCCTTTGATCTCAAGCTTCTGTGGTTTTCTCTTTATTTTGCTTGCTCACGCTCCTTGGAGGATTTCAGGAGGAGCTCCAGAATTCAACCCAGCACCACCCTTGGTGAGAGCCACCTTGAGAGCTTGCAGGGCACATCCCCATCAGGCTCAGTGTGTGGGGAGAGCTGTGGCCATGGTGCAGGCAGCTTATCTGACTGCATGAACCAGTTCCTAAAGTGATGTATGTGAAGCATGGCCAAGCAGATTAAGTGTTTCCTCTACTGAGTGGTATTTGTTGTATTGTAAAGCTGGAATGGTTCCTAGAAAGCATTAAGATACAAATAATATTAACCAGAACTGAGAGAGAACAGCCAGCCACTCAGAAATGAAAGAAGTACGCTGCAGTGTGAACAGGGCAGAAGGACTGAGGCTGCCTGTTTCCTGCTGCATTTCTTTGTAAATTGTACTGGGCTCCCCAGGAGATGCCATGCTAATCACATGCAAAGTGCCATTCCTCTGTTTATTTTCATGGTGTATTTACCTGAATGGTAACGCCTCCTTCCCTTCCTTCTGATACAAAACGTGCTTGTTCACTCACGTGAGTGCTTGTAAGGCCAAAGGGGCAATCAGCCCTCTTAATCTGGACTGTCATGGAATAAATCACCTACTGGGCTAAATCCCTGCAAGCTTGTCCTGATCTCACCTCATCCTCATCTGTGTTCACATGTGCAGTTGCACACTGGCAGCAGTGTGTAACTTGCTTCCTTCCCTTGCAGCTTAACTGAGTAAATCCTGCAAGAGCAAAGATAGAAATTGCATTATGTTGGTGGGCCTGGGCTATAATTCGGGCAGAAGGGCAGTGCTGGCTCCAAAGAAATACATTCCCTTCTATCTACATTTTTTTCCTCGGTAGCTTGGGGAAACTGTGTGTTTCGGTTTTGTTTCTTGTTGACTAGATGCATGCCATCAGTGTTGTGTTTTGAAGTATGTAGTTTCTCCAACGGTTTGAGCAGGTCATTCCCTCAGCAGTCAGGAGAGAAACGAATTACTGAAAACCACTGTGTTTTTGTGGTTTTTGTTTTCTTTTAATATACTGAAAATGCAGGCAAGGGACTTGGCACAAACAGACGGCCTGAAACTACCTATAAATTTCTGAACTCTTTCCTTTGCTGATGCCAAATTGAACTTGACAGTAGAGCTTTCCTTGACAAGCATTGAAATGGAAAGTCACAGAGAGCCATGAAAGGGGTGGGTACAAATCCTGGGGGTCAGAGTATGTACAGGGGATGCACACAGAATGAGATCACTTCATTTTTTTTTTAATCAGTTTCTACAAGTAGTACTTCCCCAGGGCACGTCTGCAGCAATGACTGCCTCTGTAACAGCAGTAGTTACCTGCATTTGCTACCTGGCATGTGCTGGCACCATGACCTGCGTTTTTTGGAGGTTATTGCGAATAAGTGAGTAAAAGCTCTGGGCTTTGCTGTCTAATGCTTCATTAAAGATTGTTTTTGAAAAAGGTGCACCTTGTGCCAAAGCTGTCCCTGGTGTTCTCTATTGTCTGGGGCATTGCAACCCTGTG